GTCGACTAAATCAAACTTTTGCGAACGAGGGGTGGGAATAGAGACCTTAAGAACGTTCGCATTTAAATAATTTAATGGATTCATTGGTTATCAAAGTTAATCTTTTGATAACAATTATTGTCGATTCCATGTTTATAACGATTGGTTTAATTTTAATTAAATACATTATTAATTAATATTTTAAGATTTAGTGTTAAACATAAATATACAATATTACTGATTATTATGTGAATTAATTTCGAATAGTTATTGGTGATCAAATTGTGAACAACCTTGATAACTTACATTTCAAGGGTACCGTAACTCATAGGTATGCAATTTTTGACCATTATCATTCTCAGACACTTTATTCTTTATCAAATCTTAAATAATATTATTAAGTCTAACGATTAGTGATAAACAAAATTACAATATGTTTTACATTTTATGTTAACATTAAATAAATATATAACGTATGATAACGTGTAAAATATTTGAGTTATTTTAGTGTATAATTAAATCCCAATTTAATTGATAGTAAAGTAGACGATTAAAATTGACAATCGATTCATTGATTTATTACTTTAAATTTAATTTAAATAACAATTTTTAACATGATTTGTTTATCAAGAATCTTGATTTAACAAGCATGTTAATGTACATAACAACCATTATCATGCATAGATATGGGTCAGTGCGGTTGAACTAGCCCGTTTTGGGCAATGATCAAGTGCACTTTTGACAGGTTCTTTGAGCCATATTATATAAAATTGTTGTTTAGAAAAATATGGGTAAAAAATCTCTAATGGCATTGAAAAACAGCCAAAAGTATTTGAATTTCATATTTTTGCAATTAATTTGAAAGCTTTGCAGAAAAAATAATTAAAATTCCCATTCGTTAGAAAAGTAATGTTTGAATTACTTGTCGATTGATTTATTTTTACGATAAAAATTTAAAACAAAAAAAGTAGTAATTAATTATTAAGTTCTCAAACAATTAATAACAATAACTAAACATGTACATTTTTTGTACCCAATTGTAAATTCAATGCACAAACCATAGAAAGCATAGAATATTTTGTAAAACATTTCAAATCTACAATTAAATGTTGTGTAAAAGTTTTAATGAAGCCAACAGTTGGACGTCATTTAATTAACAGATCATTAATTAAATCGTAAATAAAATGTCAAAATTCACTATCAATTGTTTGATAGGATCGCTGCAAATGTTAAACAGAGTCAGCACTTGTATAATCACACTTCGGATATAAATTAAATGCAAACAAACAATTTTTTTAGTTTAAGTTTTTAAAAATAACTTAAAATTTTTACTCAAAATTCTTTGAGCACTAGATTTGCTTCAATTTGAAGGAAAACTACTTTTTGACAAAAAGTCCATAAATCAATACAACTTTTACGGGTAATTAATTATATAATTCATTAAATCATAGAATTTTTATTAACAAATTCATCAAAAGTCTTATATAAAATCAATTTTAACTCAATTCCCAATCAATTCCTATCCGTAAACCAAAAGAGACAAAAATGTTTGAGAAAGCGATCGAAGATTTCCGCAAAAATGGTTTTGCAGTCATTCCCGACTTCATCGACAGTGAGTTCGTCGAAGAACTCAAGAAACGGATCCACGAATTGGTCGACAATATTGACGTAACAAAGGAGAAGATGGCCACCGATGAGACAGTGAACCCGTCGGTCGACATCGAGTCTGCGGACAAAATCCGTTTCTTCTTCGAGAAGGAGGCCTTCGATGAAAAGGGAAACCTAAAGGTTGACAAACATAAGGCTCTCTTTCGCATCGGCTTTGCGTTGCATTGTTTGGATCCGACGTTCAAGAGGTTGACCTTCAGTGACAAAGTGAAGGCATTGGTCAAAGAGCTGGGCTTTGAATCACCCCGAGTGGCACAGAGTATGTATATATTCAAGAACCCCGAGATCGGGGGTGTGTTCATCCCGCACCAAGATGCCACATATCTGCACGCCGTGGGCGACGACCTCCGCGAGGCCGGCATTTGGTTTGCTCTCGAAGACGCCACTGTATGTATCAGTTCCTTAATATCTGTATTCATGCCATTCCTCACCAACTGATGCCATTGCGGCCGGAGTTTGGGATTACTATATATTCTTTGCAATCATATAATTTATAACATAATAATCACATGAATTTGATTACAATCTATGATAATATAGGAAGACAACGGTTGTCTGTCATTCATTCCGGGCTCTCATAAGACAGGACTTCATCGCCAATACGTGAGGAATGAGAAGGAAAACGATCCGCCATTTGTGTTCACAAAAGACAATCCCGACTATAAGGACGAGGACTTTGTGTTGGCGCCGGCGAAGAAGGGTTCAGCCGTACTCATCGACGGACTGGTGGTTCACCGATCGGCACAGAATCGCTCGGCGAAGGGTCGGCCAA